GGGGCCTGAAATAGTGAAAAAATGTCCTATTTGGGCCCCAAACACATGTTTTCGTTTGAGAAATGTTGCTAAAAAAAGTGAGCACTTTTTCGGCGCCGTCCCCCATCCAAAAGATACATCAGGGGGTTGCCAGAAGGGGGATGTGCCCCCTTCTGTTTGGGGGGTTTGATGGGGGCGGAGTCCCCCCTCATCGCCAAGAAAATTTTGGACTTGTGAGAGGCTTAAAATGACCCCAGGTCGATCATAAGGTAACGTGTAACCAACGCTGAAAAGCCTTTGACTCTATCTCAATCCCTTGAGAAGTTGCAGCACTTTGAAATAAATTTTGATGGAAAAAATAGAGGCAAAATAGTGATTTTTGGCAATTTTGAGATGCCCCCTCGTTGCCATGGTAACAGGAAATTTAAGACTGAGCATGTCGTTACAAAGGCAATGGTCCAGTCAACATTTGTGCCAAGTTTGATTAGTATTGAAGCATTTTTCATAGTTTCATAGCAGTTTGAACTTTTAAGAGGAGGCATTTCAGTGAAAATGGCCATTTTTCACAATTGGGGGAAAGGGTTAAGCAAAATCTGCCATCCGGTTTAAGAGGAGTTGCGTTCACAAAATTTCTACATAGTATATAGTGAAAAAATCAACAAAGGGCCATTATTCTGTTAAATTTGGTCGCAGCAAAAATTCCTTCCTTTAGTACCATCTATACATTAAGGTTGTTCTTCTCTGTAAGTTTAAACAAAATCTGCTATCCGGTTTAAGAGGAGTTGCGTTCACAAAATTTCTACATAGTATATAGTGAAAAAATCAACAAAGGGCCATAATTCTCTTAAATTTGGTCGCAGCAAAAATTCCTCCCTTTACTACCATCTACAGATAAGGGTTGTTCATCCCTCTAAGTTTAAGGAAAATCTGCCATCCGGTTTAAGAGGAGTTGCTTTCACAAGTTTTCGGGACGGACAGACGTACGGACGGAAAGACAGACAGACGGACAGACAAGTGCAACGCTTTATGCTTCCACTTTGTGGGGGCATAAAAATTGATGAGGATGTAGATTGTATACATTTTTTAAATGATTTTGATTCTCATGTTAGTGCTGACTCATCATTTGAAGAATTAATGAAGCATTTATATTGACATATTTTCTTTCCAAAAATATGGAGGAAACAATTGTTTTGTTTTCAAGCTAACTGGAAGATTGGAATAGTGCGTTCATGTGACACTCCAGTATGAATGGAATACCAGCCTCCTACAGATTGTACTATTTTTAGGCAGTTATAACTGCCTGTCTAGAGAAACTTGAAAAAAGAATACCTTTTCACATATTGTCATTCTATAAATGTCTACAGTATATTTATATAAAACAAAGAAAATACAGTTTACAAAGTTACAAATAATGTAGAAATAGTTTTAATCCTTGATAAATATCATCTATATATCATTATACTATGTAAAAGACATTAATTTAAATATTATGATAACCCTCTTTCAGAATTTAAAAGAAAATATTCATTTTATGAATGGTAAAGGGAAGTAATACAGTAAATTTTGTAACAATTTGGATTTTGGTTAACTCCCCTTTTAACTTAACACTACACATTAGGATCTGACGATCAGCTACACATGTAGGTTGTCAACTTCTTGTGATTATTCAAACAGCCAATTATCAGTGCGCTTTCACAATTTTGAAAGCAATGCGGTTTCTAATTTTGACCGCTGGAAAACCAATACTGAGTGAGGTAATTTTCACGCTTTCAAGAGCAAATATTGTGTTGTCCATGTAGTAGGCAGGCTGGCAATACAATCTTGCCCATTAAAAATGGGTCTATTATTATTTATATACTTGTTTCAAATTAGTTCAAACTAATTGTTTTCTTACAAAAATCAACAATGTGTTTTACTTTCACTAGCAGCAAAATTTTGATACTGATGCCTACATGTAATAAACCGGTTCAACTACATGGCTAAAAATAGCATTCACAGAAAATCCGAATCCTAATGATATAATATACTGATATGACATACTTAGATATATGGTTGTAATCAGATCTACATAGATCTGAATGTATGTTAAATTACCTGAACTTTTTGTTTACAAAAACTTTCTAAAGACATTGAATTTCATTTTTATTAAACTTCATGAGGTGTACCACAAACATGTTTTAAGTGACCAAATATGTCATTTTGCTTAATTTCTCTTGGTTGTGTATTACATTATTTCAATTCAATTTATAGCACTGTAATAAAATTTTACATTTTCCTTCCCAGAGGAATCATATGTGATAAGAATTGTTCACATAAAATGCAGAACAAACACAAAATACAATTTTTTAAATAAATGCTAAAGATATTGTTTTCCAATATTGATACCTCTAATTATCCATGTTATTTTTTTTAATAACTTAATCCGACCAATTAAGTAACTTGCCAATTACATTTACCATGGTTAATTTTCTAATGACTATAATTAAAGTCTTTAATTATCATACCCATCTTCTTAATTATAATAATCAATAACTTTAATTAACACCTTTACAATTGTTTGAAGTTTCTTTGATGATAGAAAGATCAAAGTGGTAATTATCATACTGATATAAGATGTGTTCAAATAATTAAAAAACAAACTGATAAAGATAATTAAATGATAACTAGAACTGCCACTATCATGGCGTGAATACCCCCGCATACCACTTTGTCAGAATCAACAGTGGCCATTTAGAGCTCAAGGACAACCTCCCTGCCAAATCTGAGGTTACTAAGCCAGTGCATTGCTAAGTTATGTATTCTACATGCTTCAAATGTGAAAATGTCAAAATCAATACATTGCGGACAGGACATTCTTTAGCAATTGAGAAGAAAAGCTTTTTTTGTCAAGGTCCCTGTGACCTTGACCTTTGACCCAGTGACCTCAAAATCAATAGGGGTCACCTTATAGTCATGATCAACATCCATACCAAATATGAAGACTGTGGTCAAAGGAATCTTTAAGTTAATGGTGGACAAACTTTTTGAAGTCAAAGTCCCTATGACCTTGACCTTTGATCCAGTGACCTCAAAATCAAAAGGGGTCATCTACTAATCATGATCAACATCCATGTCAAATATGACGACTGTAGGTCAAAGGAATCTTAAGTTATTGGGCAGACAAAGTTTTTTGAAGTCAAAGTCCCTGTGACCTTGACCTTTGACCTGGTGACCTCAAAATCAATAGGGGTCATCTACTAATCATGACTAACCTCCATGCCAAATATGAAGACTAAGGGTCAAAGGAACAAGCTTTATTGGGCGGACAAGCTTTTTGAAGTCAAGGCCCCTGTGACCTTGACATTTGACCTAGTGACCTCAAAATCAATAGGGGTCATTTACTAATCATGACTAACCTCCATGCCAAATATGAAGACTAAGGGTCAAAGGAATCTTAAGTTATTGGGCGGACAAGCTTTTTGAAGTCAAGGCTCCTGTGACCTTGGCCTTTGACCTAGTGACCTCAAAATCAATAGGGGTCATCTACTAATCATGACTAACCTCCATGCCAAATATGAAGACTAAGGGTCAAAGGAATCTTAAGTTATTGGGCGGACAAGCTTTTTGAAGTGAAGGCCCCTGTGACCTTGACCTTTGACCTCAAAATCAATAGAGGTCATCTACTAATCATGACTAACCTCCATGCCAAATATGAAGACTAAGGGTCAAAGGAATCTTAAGTTATTGGGCGGACAAGAAAAAACTGACGGACGGCCGGACGGACAGACAGCCGGACGGACAAGCTGATTCCAGTATACCCCCCTTACAACTTTGTTGTGCGGGGGTATAATTATATGTCCATGAAACAATAAGATGTCTCCAGCTATAAATATTCTTGGTAATCTGTCACAAGCCATCATATTATAAACACAAGCCAAAGAATAAACTGCATCCAAGCTATATTACAACAAAAACATGGATATTATCTCAGCTGCCAAAACTCTCCAACAACAACTGGTTGCCCTTAACAACAGTGACTTAACCATTTCACTTTTAGGTGAAGCATTTTATAATCTTGTTCTTTATTAATTTTGTTTTTTACCAGTTTATTACTTAAAATACTGCATATTTTACAGCAAAAAACAGTGTATTTGTTATATTTTTTATCAATGACAATAAAGATTTTAATACATGTTTATTTATCATTGCAGATGGCCAGTTAGAAAATCTAGGATACCAGTCTATGATGTCAAGTATAGCAGAGAACCAGTCTCATCATTTACGTCTGCTGCTGCGTGTATCAGTCACAGAAGGTGTATGTAACATGTACCAGCATTACTCCAGTGACAAATGGGCTCAGGTATACATGCTTTCTTTCATTCTATTATCACAAGTTTAATATACCAATTGATATATTCATAATTTATATGAAGTAAACAGGATTTCAGAGCATAAATTCAACATTTGTGTAATTCTATTATCACAAGTTAAAGCAATTGTTATATTTATCATTTACATGAAGATACTGGTATTTCAGAGCTAAATTTGTTCAATCTGTCTTGGAAAGAACATCGAAAATAAGCTTTAAGCCCTTGTGTCTGTTCAATTTCTTCATTGTTTCATTTATCATCAAGATAAATATCAAGATAAGATTGATCATCATCATAACATATATATTATTTCAGGTTCAGAACACAGCTAGAACAATCAAGTCAACAATTGAGGTTGATGGTGAGCAGCAGACGACATCAATGATTACAACAAATACAAGAATTTCTGGTACAGATAAAGCAGCAGAAGAATGGACCAGTGTCATGTGTGAGCTGTCTAGACATGAATGACTATTGTTAATTTTATCATGAACTTTGTGCTGAATGTTACTGAAAATATGTGCTATTTTGTTGTATTGTTAATGAATAAATAAATTATAATAAAAACATACATAGCATTTTCTCTTTCATATGAAGTGTAATTTATAATGTCTCATATGCAAGAATGTACATAAGGTGATGCAAATGTAATCAAACACAAACATCAGGGTTTTTTTCCAGGATTTTGGAAACATGACCCATACCTATGGGAATCTTCAAACATTTTAGCACCATAACAGGAGAAGGAGCCATTATTTTAGAAGTTTTTATTCAATATCGGCTATAAAATAAGCCAAAAAATCCCTGAACATACAGAATTAAATTGAGGAAATTGACTTTAAATCATTCCACCATATTCTCAATGTATCAAATGCATTCAAAAGTGTTTATCAAACTGGAAAATGGGATTATTTTAAACACCACATAGTCATTAGTACATTTGTAACTTGTTACCAGAAGATCAATGTAGGACACATTTAATGTATGTAAGAATGACCATAGACTTCACAAGGAAAGTGAACTGAAAGTGACCTGCACCAATCGGGAATCTAATCTAATTAGGGTCGCACAATTCACAGTCCAGTGCTAACTGGACTACACAATTGTTGATGGTATATATTTTAGGCAGTTCTAACTGCCTGTCTAGATAAACTTCTATAATATTGTCAGCACTCACAGTTTTTTGTGCATTTATATAGAATGAAGAAAAATACAATTCACAAAGTAAAACAAATTTTAGAAAGAGGTTTTAGTTTTAATAGATATCATCTATAAGACTCCAATGTTTACATTTATTTGTAAACGTTTACATGATTATTAAGGTGACAACGGAGTCAATTATCACTGAAAATACCTAAAATGAGATTTTTTGCTAAGTAGATTTATCAACCTTTTCTGAACACATTCGTGATTTAATTTTGGAAGCAGTTAGTCCAAAAAATGTGTTTTTAAACGTTTTAAAACGGTACCTATACTATTTGTAACTGCTACTCGCGTAACCTGTCTATTATCGATAACGCTCCGCCCCCTGTTGAGGCATCAATGAGGGAAATCGGTAGTTCCATATATCCGTGAATTACAGGTCCATACTTCTCGTAATACATGTATCGTACAACTACCGTACATCTTTTATGAATATCTCAACATTTAGCCTTTTTTATAAATTAAGAAATTGTCGGCCAATGTACGTAACATAAATAATTAAGCATAGCGGCAAATCGCACAACCACGGGGTTGAATAAAAATGTAGTTGCTAAAATATCCATAATGTGTGAAAATAATTTGTCTGTCCCGTTAATCTGATAGATATTACATTGAGTTGATAGACTTTTGTACGGATTCAAGGGCTTACTTTACATTCAACCTCGTTTTCTATCAATGTCGAGTAAAACAACAACAAAAACAGACAACATTTTTATGTGAACGCCTATATGACTTGTGGTAAGGTGTACCTGACAAATTTCTAAACCATTTTAGATTGTCTAAGGATGATTATTTCTCTATGAATAAAAAAAAGATATTAAAATATATTTTCAGTGAAAATAAATTGTTCGCTAGTAAATCGGACACAGTACTAATAAATCTGGGACAAAGTATGAAATTTATTGTCTATCCCGGTAGAAACTGGATCTCTATGCCGTGCATAGATGATATTCATAATAGAAGTCAAGAAGGCCATATCATAATGATCGAGTAATACCTTTTATTTCTATTAAAATATGTGAAGCATTATCAATTTGGTGGAAAAAATATATAATATATCCTGTTCTTATTTGTACATCTACCATGGACTTTAAAAGACTGTCAGAAGCTCAGTTTTTTGTTATTTTATTTTATATTTTAACGGAATTTCATACACGAATACACAGGCAGAGTGACACTGGTATAATACAATAATAATGATGATGATAATAATAATAAACTTCAAAAAGGAAACAATTAAATACCCCGCTAGCGGTGCGCAAATGCGTTCCATTTCCCCCCACTGAGTGCCTCAAATTTTACCGATAGTCACGTGACATGTGCGAAAGATACCAGACGAACAGTAAATCACGTTAAGAATTGAAGAAATTTCGGCTATAAACTGATATTAATCAGCAGCTTTTTAATTGGTCAGATGTCACTGGGTCATAAAATGTTGTTAGAGTATGTTACCGCAACTTGTGACCCTCTCTGGTGCGATATTTGTGTATTATGCAATTATTTAGCGTGAAACGTAGGGGTCAGAGAGAGAACAGCCGATTTATGACACTTCGTTTGATGCGTGTCGGACTAACTTTGAATCGGCATAACTTTCTTAATAATCAAGCAATTAACATGCGGTTTAAAGCACATGAAAGGAAATTCATTTACGGAGGGAACCGTGTCAGGGATTTTTGTTTGCTCAATCAGCGACTTAATTATCTTTAATTACGTAATATGTATGGTGAAAAAAGTCGCATAAAATGTTTGACGTTACGTAATATTTTTTTGAGAAAAGATAGCAAAAATTTGAGACACGGTTCCCCAGATAATATAAGTAAGGTTATTTTCCAAAAGTTTGATGACAAAAAAATAAAAAATGACTTTGATATGACGATTTAAAATTTTAGGATTTTTATTCAAAATCAATCATTTACAAAAGCATTTTTTTCAAATTTGTTATTTTTTATGCTGATCAGCGACATTTAATGCATAAAGATTAAATAAATAACAATTATTACTAAAATAACTTGGTTTAAATTACATTTATTTGAGTACCACGGAAAGTGTCTGTTGTCACCTTAAGAACAGAAACGATACCGTGGTAACAGAGTTACTTTTATGTACTATACTACACCATGAATTCCAGTAGCCAAATGATGACTTGCTTTCTAATTTTAATACATTTAAGTAGATTTATTATTTTGTGAAAATTTCTCTGTATCATCACTTTATTTTACTTCCAGTAATTTCTTTCATTTTAATCAATTAACAAACACCTTTTTACCTATAGCAAACAGAACACCTGGTTACAATTCTAGGGCATGTGGGTATGTACTCTAGATGCAAAATAAGGCACTTGGACTTTGATTAATTTAGAATAGACTTACTGTGTATTTGGCACAACTTCCCACGATGTTGGACTGTAAAGTTGGCAAGAAAACTTCTGTGCTGTCGGATATACAAATCTCTCATCTGAAATTAACGATACAAATCTGTAATTTTTGAGTCTATTTACAATGATATTAACAAATTACTATAATCTATCTGAAACATCATAATTATGTTTTCATTTCACATTTAACATGTATTGAATTAGAAATATATTGCATTTCTCTAAATTAAAAGGTATTAAATGAATGCTTAAAAATACAAAAGTTGATGGCAAAAGTTCAGTTCTTTGTAACAGAATATCAATCAACAGCTTTGTTAAATCTTAGGTGTGGAAATGCTTTTTCAGCACTTTTCAAAAGGTATTTTCATTAATTTTATTCTATACCTTTTTCAAAGACATCAAATTCTCTTTCTTCTGATGTAACTTTGGGCAATTTGTTACCAATATCTGGTGTATGCATGACCACAGCATAAGTCTGAAATAGAAATGAAATTTCAAGGATCAAATATTTATAATGCCAAAATGACCAAGATATTACTTGCTATAGACAATAACACAGTACTGACTGGCCTTGCTGTAGAAGAGTCAAATCAGTACTGCAGTTATCTCCAAAGAGTTAAAATAGTATTAATAAACAAATATTAAAGTGGTCTTGTAAATGAAAGACTGAGAATACAATCAATTAACAATGGTATATTATTCAAAAATATAAAGAATTTCCCTGTAGAACTTGAAAAAAAAAACCAATATATTTTAAGTTTCAGACTTCAGTTTCTTAAGGACATACAGCTTACTTGAATGAATATACATTTACAGCCATTTTGGATTAACAGCTACAGATTAAAGAAAAGAATTGACAGCTGTGTTTGCCTACCTTGCTGTCTGTATGATAAATGATAAAATGAGGTGTACATCTTAATGGAACTTTACGTATAGGCCATGGAGCATCATATGTTAAATGAGTTGGTAATACTGAAATCCGTAGCTCCCCCTGAAAACAAAACAAAACAAAATGATCTGAATTACAAAACAAATTGACTATTTTAATTATAATATACACATGAAAAGATACCAAGATTTATATCCTTTTTGCTCTGTTACACATTCACAATGAGAAGTAATTGAACACAAATCAAATTAATATGCTAGGATACAATTGTAAGTGTGCCTCCTGTACTTAAGAAAAGCCATCTAAGGTTCAAATATTGTACACACTAATTAATAGATGTCAAAACAAGAGATGTCAATAGGACAGCGTGCTTGACTATTCCCAGTGCTTAATAGCAAAACATGAGCCTGGATAATGTAGAATTTATTAAGATCAAAAGGGGTCACAATTCTGTCAAAATCCAGGTAATTGTTATGGGCCTTAGGGAGTGACCTTCTATTATACTATCAAACAAATGTGTGAAGTTTCAACCCATTCCCTTTAGTAGTTTTCGAGATACCAACTTGCACGTAAAAACTTAACCAAAGTTTGATACCTGGGTGAGTACAATAGTCCTCGTATTCTTCATTTAGTCAGGCTAAAAAAAATGTTGAAATTTAAATGCTAACAATAAGTTGCATTATCTCATTAAAAATCACATTTGTCCATTTTGAATTACCTGTTTATTAAAGTAGAGGAAACCTTTGGGACAATTCACATTATGGAATGGAGCAAAACATGTGATGGCACCATCTATTCCCATGGGATGTATCCTGAGGGACCCTCTCTGAGTCATAAACAACCAGTGTGGATATGGTCCACAAATAAATACCTGAAATAATACATACATGTAAGCATACAGTCTGCAATATAAACATACAGTCTACAAAAAAAAAACTATATGGGATGGTAGAAGTGTAGCAATAAGCAAATAACATTTTATGTTAAAGGACAAGCTTTCCAAAACAGGAAGAATAGATAACATTTTCTTATAATTTTCACAATAATCTGCTTGATTTCCACTTCACTATTATAAAAGAAAGGTAATGGAACATGATAAATTATAGCTATTGCCCTTACATGCTTTCTTACAAAAGTAAAAGATTCACAATTAGTGGAATAGGAAAACAGTAATAGAAATTAGGCTCAAAATTTATTCATAATGTAAAACATAATCAAGGGATTCATAAAATGACAGAATGTCAACATAGTATTGTCTTTATCAGAACAGAATAATTACTACATACAGAAAGACAGATATTTTCACTGATGTTCTCATTACGGAGTATTACATATACATCCATCTCAAGCCTGTATTGTCTAAAATAAATAAAATCTTATAAACTACTGCACTTACACCACTATAGCCTGAAATATCGTCAAAGTACCGGAACCACTGTCCTTGATCAGTTTTAAATTCATCAAATTCATCTAAGATCTCTTCGCCTCTCTTTCGGAACTTTACTTTACGTTCCTTCAGGATCAAATTATGCTGGACTTTCTTAAATCGTATTTTAAGGTGATTGTCTTCCTTTGACTGATAATACGGGAATGCTTCATAGATCAATAAACCATCTTCTACCCTCGCCTGAAAATAAAGCACATTAAAATACCCATGATGATCATATATTGTACCTTGTACGCCTTTGTAGACCGGACCCGTTTACTATATTTATGACAACTAGTGATGAAATTTTATTCATACCATAAAATATTACAGCTTAAATAGCCTGTTGGCGGCAACTGAATCTACCCATGTGACCAGTGCAGACCAAGATGATAAATGATTGAGTCCATACTGCCCATGTAACCAGTGCAGATCAATGTTAACTGGCACATTATGATAAATGATTAAGTCCATATTGCCCATGTGACCAGTGCAGATCAAGGTTAACTGGCACATTATGATAAATGATTAAGTCCATATTGCCCATGTGACCAGTGCAGATCAACTTAAGCTGGCATATCATGATAAATGATTTAGTCCATATTGCCCATGTGACCAGTGCAGATCAATTTAAGCTGGCATATCATGATAAATGATTAAGTCCATATTGCCCATGTAACCAGTGCAGATCAATGTTAACTGGCACATTATGATAAATGATTTTAGTCCATATTGCCCATGTGACCAGTGCAGATCAAGGTTAACTGGCACATTATGATAAATGATTAAGTCCATATTGCCCATGTGACCAGTGCAGATCAATTTAAGCTGGCATATCATGATAAATGATTAAGTCCATATTGCCCATGTGACCAGTGCAGATCAATGTTAACTGGCACATTATGATAAATGATTTAGTCCATATTGCCCATGTGACCAGTGCAGATCAAGGTTAACTGGCACATTATGATAAATGATTAAGTCCATATTGCCCATGTGACCAGTGCAGATCAAGGTTAAATGGCACATTATGATAAATGATTAAGTCCATATTGCCCATGTGACCAGTGCAGATCAAGGTTAACTGGCACATTATGATAAATGATTAAGTCCATATTGCCCATGTGACCAGTGCAGATCAACTTAAGCTGGCATATCATGATAAATGATTTAGTCCATATTGCCCATGTGACCAGTGCAGATCAAGGTTAACTGGCACATTATGATAAATGATTAAGTCCATATCACCCATGTGACCAGTGCAGATCAACTTAAGCTGGCATATCATGATAAATGGTTTAGTCCATATTGCCAGATGAACAGGTCCATTTAAGAGCATGGTAAGGAACTTCTTAAATGAACTTGAATGTTGTGAATCCCTCTTTTATGTCATTAATGACAACATTGGTTTTTTGGGTTTTTTTTTGTTGTTGTTGTTGTTGGGTTTTACATTGCACCAACACTGTAGAGATCATATGGCCATTTTCTAGCTAAACTCGTAGAGGAAGACCCTCCGTACACTATTTAAGGCATGAGGGGGTGCCTCAGTAGAACCACTGATGTTCCATCTGCTAGCTGGCTAGCTTCCTCACATAAAAGAATACAAAGTCCTGGCAGGATTTAAATCTACAGCAATGAGAGACAAGTGGTTTGAAGTCAACAACCTTAACCACTTGCCCACTGATGCCCCTAATAATGTTGTTTACAAATCATGCTTCTCTACATACATGGACTGATAACTACACAACCAACAATTATTCTCTAAAATAAAATACATTTATCATCTTACCAGCAGGTATGGTCTAGATTTCCGCTGTCCTAATCCAACAAGTAACACCTCATGTATATTATACATGCTGTCAGTAACTGTCTTGTCTTGACTCAACCCAGACCTAAAAGTAGATACACATAATATTATATAATTATGTGCATTATAACTTTCATAAAAAAATTCATAAAATTTCATACAACAACTGAGAATATTTTATATATCCGACGTACACAGCTGCTGCTAAATTTTAGTTTTAAACAAAGAATATTGTTTTTATTTATGTTGCCTAGTAACTTTATAATTATATATAATTTATAAAAGAATGTTATCCAATAAGAAGATATCTCACCCAGATTTGCTGGCACTTATTTCTTTTAAACTTCCTGTGTCAACCAATACTTTCTGTCCAATGGGGAACGTCTTCACATAGTATGCTATCTTAAAGTCTGGTAAACTCAATATCTGAAATATTTCATTATTTATGATGACTTCTTGTGAATAAAAAAATACTTTGTCAGTGTGTTAAAATTTCTATAACTATTTTTACTGAGATATAAACTGATGATACTATAAAGACATAACAATCTTTTACTCAAAATACATAACAATCTTTTACTCAAAATACATAACAATCTTCTACACAAAAGACATAACAGTCTCTTCCACAAAAGACATAACAATCTTTTACACAAAAAACATAACAGTCTATTCCACAAAAGACATAACAATCTTTTACACAAAAGACATAACAGTCTCTTCCACAAAAGACATAACAATCTTTTACACAAAAGACATAACAGTCTATTCCACAAAAGACATAACAATCTTTTACACAAAAGACATAACAGTCTCTTCCACAAAAGACATAACAGTCTTTTACACAAAAGACATAAGTCTCTTCCACAAAAGACATAACAATCTTTTACACAAAAGACATAACAGTCTCTTCCACAAAAGACATAACAATCTTTTAAACAAAAAGACATAACAATCTTCTACACAAAAGACATAACAGTCTCTTCCACAAAAGACATAACAATCTTCTACACAAAAGACATAACAGTCTCTTCCACAAAAGACATGTATAACAATCTTTTACACAAAAGACATAACAGTCTCTTCCACAAAAGACATAACAATCTTTTACACAAAAGACATAACAGTCTCTTCCACAAAAGACATAACAATCTTTTAAACAAAAGACATAACAGTCTCTTCCACAAAAGACATAACAGTCTCTTGAGAGGTGTCATCTAGATTTTGACAAAGTCATGTACATTATCATTTTTCACTGGATATATAATTTTTTATTCATATTTAATTTTATGTATTGTTTGCCATATTTTAATTCAAATGAATGGAGAATTGTTTGTTTGTTTGGATTCATTTTAATCTGGAAAAAATGCTTAGGAAAAGAAAAGTAAACTGCCTAGGAAAAGAAACTGTCAAGTTTGTTTATACATGGCTGATCCTATCATACTTAATTTAATATCTCGTTAATATTTTAAAAAATACAAACTTCTAAAGATCCATTTTCTCGTGCAACAGCTACCCAATATGACATCTTCAATTCCTTCTTCCGAGACTTTTTGCTATCATATAAAATAAACAATCAATATTTTAAGCAACTTTAACCAAAAAGATATGACCTTTGCAATTAAAATATAATAAGGGTAGTCTGTACATGTGTGTACTAGGACCAGTTTTCATTCTGCCAGCTTCTCAATAATTTGAAATCCTACTTTGTACTTCAAATGGACTGTTCCAAATTTCGTATCCGGACAAGTTCATTCTACAAATTTAGCAGGGTCAGGTTTAAAGTTATTCAAGATTTTATACCAAGTGATATTATAGGTATATATGTAGATATACTTGGCAGTGAAACATACTCCATTGTTTTAAATTCAGTCCTGAGAGTCTCAAGATTCTATCTGAAAACATTACCAATAATTTGTGTCCTTTAAAATTTGTGTAACAAAGATTTGTTATCAATTTTGTATAATCACTGAATGCATTATTTATAATTTAAGATTTAGTTTATACAAAATTTGTTTTAGTTTGATTGTGTAGTAAGCTCTCAGCCTATAGACAAACTATTTGAACCAAACAGTACTAACCTCCTGAATGAGTGAAAAGTTCCTTTCTCAAAAACACAACTGCTTACCCTAATCAGTAGATTATTAAATTTACTATTGGATAATTACAAATTAAAAGTATGATATAGTAATTCAAGTAGTAAACATTACCTAGATTTTGTTTCCTCTTTCAAACTGATATTAGCAGATGTATCCATGTTGGACGTATCTTCATCTCCGTATAGTAACTCATCCTCATCATCAACAGTACTGGAAATATAAATACAGTTAAACCTGTGAATAAAGACCATCAAAGTGGGAGAATACTTATAGTCTTTATAGACAAGTGGTCTGTATTTGGAGGTTACTTTATTCCATTTTACCAATGAAAAGTAACTGTTGTTCTTTAACACAGGTTTGTCTGTACATATAGTTTAAAACAAACAAGATTTTGCAACAGTCAGTTACCAACTTCCTCCTCTGTCTTCTCACCCTGTCATTTGTAGGTCAATGATCACATGCAAATATCTAGTTTCTAAGTCACAGTTTGGGAAACAAACATTATTTCACTCTAAATTGAACATATATCAAGTTGTTCATGGGGCTTTATTCATTTATTGTTGATACACAAAGAGGTTAATCACAGATAAACTTGAAAGATTCTATTGTGTCATTTTTAATTATGTGGTTAAGTATTGATTATAATTTATATTGTAAAGACAATGAAGTAAAAATCATTAAGTTTATTTTATAAAACATTGCTGTGTTTGTAGCAACCGTCAGCAGAGATATGGCAGGGAAAGAGGTAGCAACACCTGGGATTACTGGGTCTGAGGAGATAATTAACTGTACTCCATGCTCTGAAGCAGAGAGGACAACAGTTACTGTGGAATGTAAAAGTCATGATGGACATTTCATTGACAGATATTGCAAAAACCATGATGAAGTGTGTTGCAAAATTTGTGTGACAGTTAAACACTTGTTTGTCCATTCCTTTCTTTAATAAATATCAAACACACTGTTTAACAAAGATTTAGCTAATGTTCAATTAAATTTGACAATGATTTCAATTAGTGTTTATTATATTATATAGTTTCAAGTGAATATTTGTTCTGGTTTAAGAAGTATTATGGTAAATAAGCTTAAAGACATAAAAATGGACTTAACTTTGTCAAAATACAATACAAAGTTATCCCCCCCCCATTTTTTAGTTATGAAACTTGACTTGCATATCTTACTTGCGACACTTCGTATATATTTGAAGTTTCAAGCTAATATCTGTGCTAGTTTCAGAAATATTCAAGTACATGTTAAAATTTAAGAACATTTTCTAAGTCAATTTTTGACCTTCAAGTGTCACCTTGACCTTAAGATAGCACAAATTGGTTCTGCAAATAACCTTGTTGAGGTGAACATTTGAGTAAAGTTTGAAGAAAATTCTTCCATTAGTATAGGATTTATAGAGCAGACAATCATGACATGTTGTCTAATATTTGATTGTATGTAAATTTGAAGACTTAAAAAGGGTCATAACTTTGTCAAAATGCAATACAGAGTTATATAACTTGACCTGCACATCTTAATTGTGACACTTTATATATATTTTAAGTTTCAAGCAAATACCTTTTCTAGTTTCAGAAATATTCAAATACATGTCAAAATTTAAGAATATTTTCTAAGTCAATTTAAAGACCTTCAAGTGTGACCTTGACCTTAAGCCAGCAAAAGGGTAACATGGGTTCTGCACATTACCTTGTTGAGGTGAATATTTGAGCCAAGAATGAAGAGAATCTTTCAATTAGTGTAGGACTTACAGAGGGACACGACATACTGTCTAATATTTGATTGTTTGATATTTGACCTTCAATTGTGGCCTTGACCTTGAGCTGACACATGGGCAACATGGGTTCTGCACATCCCCTTTTGTTGAGGTGAACATTTGAGCCAAGTTTGAAGAAAATCCTTCAATTGGTATAGGATTTATAGAGCAGACACAATAATGGAGACGGATGGACCGACGGAAGCGACAAAGCGAATCCATTATAGCCCCCCCCCCCCAACACATTTTGTGGTGTGGGTATAATAACAGTATATTTTGTTTTCTTTTCAAAACTAGCACTTAAAGAAAAAAACTTCATTATTGCTCTTACCCGTGCGAGTTTAATACTATGAGTTTTTTTTATTGCATCAACAGGTCAGTTATAGTCTGTTTCAGAAAAAAAACACGCAAAGCATTCGAAGGGAGTATAGAACATAAATTCCATTTACAGAATGTTCACAACATCATTTTTAATGTGTAGCAAGTAACTGTTGTTAATTACGCAAGAAGCTTATTATTTTTGCTGATTGATGCACTGATTAAGTTGCGCATGTAGTCTTACTAATTGTACTATGCTTTTAGTTAGTGTGATATTTTTCTTATGGGCAATATCTCCTTCATTCTGATCCAGAACAAACAAAAAATATATCAGAATATAACTGAGCACGTATAGACGGAATGATAGACTAAATGAAGTATTTTTGTTGGCTTTATGTGTTGACCACACATAATAAAGGTATTTAGCAAGAAATGAAATATTATTTCTATATTCATGGTTGAACAGCGATTCTAAGCTTTTTTGGAAAAGCTAATACTTGTTACATATTATTACAAGGCCATTTTGAGTTTGATATACATAAAGGTCTTATCCTAAAAAATGTTTTTTTAATAATATAAATTATGAAGTCAATCAATTTATTAATAACAAAGTTATAATCCAGTTACAGCAAAAAAATGAAAATTTCAATAATTTGACCTTCATACCACATAATAAAGGTGTTTAGCAAGAAATGAAATATTATTTCTATATTCATGGCTGAACATCGATTCCAAGCTTTTTTGGAAAAGCTAATACTTGTTACATGAAGTCAATCAATTTATTAATAACAAGTTATAAGCCAGTTACAGCAAAAAAATGAAAATTTCAATAATTTGACCTTCAAGGCCAAGGTCATGTATGAGTGAAGGTCAAGGTCTGTCTGGTTAACTTAAAGGTCTATTCCAAAAGATTATTATGTCCAAGTTTGAAGACAATCCATTCAAAAACAACAAAATTATAGCCACTAATAGCAAAAATCATCAAAAAAAAGCAAAATTTAGGATTTTGACCTTGAAGGTCAAGGTCATCTATGAATAAAGGTCAAGGTTAGTCTGGTCTACTTAAAGATCTTGTCAAAATGATTTTTGTGGGCAAGTATGAAGACAATACACCAAGAACTTAAAAAGTTATAATCAAGGTTAAAGTTTGCTTTGGGCAATGGCAACGAAATTGGGAACGCTGACATGACTATAACAATACCTTTACTTTTTTATTTTTAAAAAGTCCAGGTAAAAAATGATTTGAACTGATAGATTTCCTTTCTTGATTGAAAGTCATTACTGTAAAAGTGGTTTATTTTGCGACATGGAAATATTTGTGATTTTTGCGAATTGAAATTATTTGCAAATATTTGATTAATTTTCTCATTGCTTGTTTGTTTTAGTTTGGTCTTAAACTTTTACCACATGAGCATATTGTGAAAAATGGCCGTTTTCATTGAAAAGCCTCCTGTTACAAGTTCAAACTGCTATGAAACTATGTAAAATACTTCAATACTGATGAAACTTGGCACAAATATTGACTGAACCATAACTTCGGTAACAGCATGCCCAATCTTAAATTTCCTGTTACCATGGCAAGGGGGGGGGACATCTCAAAATTGCAAAAAAATCACTATTTTGCATTGTTTTTTTTCAATCAAAACTGATTTCAAACTGCTGCAACTTCTCAATGCAATGAGACAGAGTAAAAAGCTTTTCAGTGTTGGTTACACGTTACCTTAAGATCGACCTGAGGCCATTTTTAGCCTTCACATGTCCACAATTTTCTTGGCGATGAGGGGGACTGCCGACCACCGACGTTCCGTAAGCTAGCTGGATAGCTTCCTCACATGAAAGAATCCAAAGTCCCTGTAGGGATTCGAACCCACAGCTGTGAGGGGCAAGTGGTTTGAAGTTAACGACCTTTACCACTGGGCCACGGACGCCCCTAATGGGTCACTAAACAAATATCTTAAATTTATAGATTAATGTTTTAAGTTTTTCAATATGACTGCAATATGTTACTGTTTAACATTAAATAGGTCATGCAAGGACGTAAACAAGATAGAAACAGTTGCAGAGGGAATTAAAGAAAGTCAAGAATTTTGTGACTTAAAATCTTCCTTGGAAAAGTTCATTACATCTGCAAATCAGGAAAAAGCATATCGAAATTACCACTTAAAAGATAATGACAGAGGAAAAAGAAAAGATCTTGGCTGATATTGATAAATATGAAGAGAGGTTAATACAAAGGATAAAAGTTCTAGCAAATACATCTAGAGAAAATTTCCAAAAAGCTCATGCAAAACATCAAGATGCAGTCAAGGCTGATATCAAAGAACTAGACACAGTTATGTCAGAACTGACAAAGAGATTCAACCATATTAAGGGAGCAGCCTTTCATGAAGTTGAGGCCTTCATAACAATGAAGAATTGCCAGATTTTTTCAAAAGAGGTGCAGAAAGTTGAAACAGATCTTTCTAAACACTGGCTGCAGACATCCCTTTCATACACGTTTAATAATGAAGTCATACCTAAAATAATCACAGCATTTGGAAATGTTGTTGAAGAAACAAAGGAAAGTCCTGTATTTTATCTACAACTCAAACAAGCTGTAGATATTACATGCCAAACTGACAGTAACAAGTGCAGTATAAATGGAATATGTCAACTACCTGACAATACTGTGGTAATCACAGATGCCAATAATTCCAAGCTTAAACGACTGAGAGATAATTTAGAGGTGAAAGATTATATTGATTTAAATGATACCCCAGAATGTATGTGTGTAACAAAACCACATGAGGTTGCCATTGTGCTAAGGGAAAGAAACCTGGTTCAGTTTGTAACCATTGATGAAAACATGACTTTAGAGTCATCATTTCCTATAGTAGAAGGAAAATGCACCAAGATTGATTGTGACCCTACTGAAAATACAGTGTATGTTTGTTGTAGGGTTGAATGTGAAAAGCCTGAAAAGAAAACGCCCCTCCCCTTAACTAATAACATGACACACAAATATCATGTTATTGTTTACAGTAAAAAAGGTGAATGTTTGTCAATATATAACAATCAGGAAGTTGAAAGTCGACAGTTTTGTAAGCCATTGAAGATACTTATCAGTTTAGATACTTTTGATTTAATTGATGCAGATACAAACATATATACATTTAGTAAGACGGATATGAAACAAAAGCCAACTAGAACAAGATTCTACTATTATGATGGAAGATGCTCATATCTATGTATGATGTCTGCAGACAAGATGATATTTGGAAAGAAGTATGGAGAAATGTTTCTGAAAACATTACCTGTGACACAGCAAAAAACACTTAAAATAGAAGATTTATCACCTGTGCTAGCAGTACTTTTCAACAAAAAGAAGTCTACATTGATTGTTGTAGGAGAGTCATGTCAAATCAGAGAATATCGAATAGGCTTAAAGATACTATATCTTCTAAAAGAATAAACAAAAGAAGATACTGAAAGGATACAAAAATGTAACTGGTTATAAATTTGAAGCATTGACAATTGGTTATTTAGACAAAAAAACATAGTATGGAAAAATATCTGTCAAACAACAGACATAAATTCACCAGCCTAGTGATTGTTTCCTTGTATCAGTATAACACTAGAACTATACAATCTAGTCACAAAATATTCATGTATACATTATTTTCAAAAAGTTTTTTTATTGTCATATTATATTTTCCAAAAATGTTACTCATCGGTCAAATACCTGAACCATATTTTGCTTCTGCTGCTTTTCGGCACTTAGAACAGTTTAAGTGATTAAGTACTAGTATTTTGTGTGGAAGTCAAAATACTATATTGTCTGCTAAAACCATTATTTACATGTTACTAAACTATTTTTTGCCCTTCCTAAAGAAAATAAAACTGTTTCTAGGGCGTAATGTGCATTATAATTCATTGCACTTACAATAATAACTAGAACTATCACTCAATGTGATTAATACCCCAACAAGCCTGCTTCAGAAATGAGGATGTTACTAGTAACAGAATACTTGTAAAAGAATTGAAATATAGAGTTATGGTTGTTGGCAATTAAAGATAGTTGTGGTTCTTGTATGTTGGCTTTCCTTTCAATGTGGTTGGCCATTGATGAAGTTTTATTGAATTACTCTGTTATAAGTCCAGAAAGACAAAGAAAAGGAACAAAGGGCAATAACTCTATAAATACTGAAGATGGAGTTATAGTTCTTGTGCACTGCACTTCCTCTTATTGTGCTTGACCATTGTATGAAGTTGTTTTGAATTCCAACCAGTACGTTTTAAGTTATGCTCCAGACAAGGAAAAGTATCAAAGGGCAGTAACTCTGTATTTTGTCAAAATGGAGTTATGGCTCTTGTGCACTGCACTTCCTTTTAATGTCCTTGACAAAAGTATGAAGTTGTATCGAATTCCAAACAGTAGTTTTCAAGTTATTTTCTGGACAAGGAAATGTAACAAAGGGCAATAACTCTGTAATTAGTCAAGATGGAGTTATGGTTCTTGTGCACTGCACTTCCTTTCAATGTGCTTGACCATTGTATGAAGTTATATTGAATTCCAACCATTAGTCTTTAAGTTATGCTCCGGACAAAAAAGCAATGGAAAAGTAACAAAGGGCAGTAACTCTGTAATTAGTCAAGATGGAGATATGGTTCTTGTGCAATGCACTTCCCCTTATTGTGCTTGTCCATTGTATGAAGTTGTTTTGAATTCCAACCAGTAGTTTTCAAGTCATGCTCTGGACAAGGAAAAAAACAAAGGGCAGTAACTCTGTAATAAGTCAAGATGGAGTTATGGTTCTTGTGCACTTCACTTCCTCTTAATGTGCTTGACCATTGTATAAAATTATAATGAATTCCAACAATTAGTCTTCAAGTTATGGTCCGGACAAAAGAAAGCAATGGAAAAGTAACAAAGGGCAATAACTCTGTAATTACTTTAGATAGAGTTATGGTTCTTGTGCACTGCACTTCCCGTTATTGTGTTTGACAATTGTATGAAGTTGTTTTGAATTCCAACCAGTAGTTTTCAAGTTATGCCCCGGACAAGGAAAAGTAACAAAGGGCAATAACTCTGTAATTAGTCAAGAAAGAGTTATGGTTCTTGTGCACTGCACTTCCTCTCAATGTCCTTGACCATTGTATGTAATTACATTGAATTGTAACCATTAGTCTTCAAATTATGCTCCGGACAAGGAAAATGCAACGGACGTCTGGACCAACCGACCGACTGACCGACCACCGGGTGACTTCTATATACCCCTCCAAACTTCGGGGTATAATTACTAGATAACAAGAGGGCCATGATGGCCCTGAGTCGCTCACCAGAAACAACTGCTTTTCAGTGTTGGAAATTATTTTTCAACAGAACTTGATGAAAGGCAAGTCCTGCTCTTTCGGCAAGTTCAGCTCAACTTTAATTTGGCCCTCTAGTAATATACTTTCACAACACTGATTGTTTAAGCTTTTTTTCTTCATAATAAACAATAGGGCCACTAAGATGGCCCTAGATCACTCATCTAACCCATCATTTCATTATTCATTATATAAATTGAAATAATTTCCCCTAATATTTTGGAAAGGCTTTGTTAAAAATATGTATGTTGCAAGTGTGTTCCTATTAGACTATGTAGAATAAATGCAGAATAAATGACCACTAGAGCAGGATTAATTTTGACTGGACAGTTTTTTTAATAACTTTTTGACTGAAAACACAAAATGTCTATCGCAAAACATGTAAGGTGTAGATGTTCGAAGTTTACAGTTTGAGACAACTTTTTTTTTTATACATTCTGTATGGTAACATAACTGTACCTCAAAAAAAGACAATAGGTCAAACATTGTAAAACATATGAAAAGTAGGCCAGTTGATATCAAAATTCAATTCAGCATCAGAAATTACACCCCTAGTCCAAATTTCAAGTCTGTATGTCAAACTAGAACTATCACTAAATGTGATTAATACCCCCACAAGACTGCTTCGGAAATGAGGATGTTACTAGTAACAGAATACCTTGTAAAAGAATTGAAATATAGAGTTATGGTTGTGGGCAATTAAAGATAGTTGTGGTTCTTATATGTTGCATTTCCTTTCAATGTGGTTGGCCATTGATGAAGTTTAATTGAATTACTCTGTAATAAGTCCAGAAAGACAAAGAAAAGGAACAAAGGGCAATAACTCTATAAATACTGAAGATAGAGTTATAGTTCTTGTGCACTGCACTTCCTCTTATTGTGCTCAATGACCATTGTATGAAGTTGTTTTGAATTCCAACCAGTACGTTTTAAGTTATGCTCCTGACAAGGAAAAGTATCAAAGGGCAGTAACTCTGTATTTTGTCAAAATGGAGTTATGGCTCTTGTGCACTGCACTTCCTTTTAATGTCCTTGACAACTGTATGAAGTTGTATTGAATTCCAAACAGTAGTTTTCAAGTTATGCTCTGGACAAGGAAAAGTAACAAAGGGCAATAACTCTGTAATTAGTCAAGACGGAGTTATGGTTCTTGTGCACTGCACTTTCTCTCAATGTGCTTGACCATTGTAAGAAGTTATATTGAATGCCAACCATTAGACTTCAAGTTATGGTCCGGACAAAAAAGGCAATGGAAAAGTAACAAAGGGCAATAACTCTGTAATTACTTTAGATAGAGTTATGGTTCTTGTGCACTGCACTTCCCCTTATTGTGTTTGACAATTGTATGAAGTTGTTTTGAATTCCAACCAGTAGTTTTCAAGTTATGCCCCGGACAAGGAAAAGTAACAAAGGGCAATAACTCTGTAATTAGTCAAGATAGAGTTATGGCTTTTATGCACTGCACTTCCTCTCAATGTGCTTGACCATTGTATGTAGTTATATTGAATTCCAACCATTAGTCTTCAAGTTATGGTCCGGACAAAAAAATCAATGGAAAAGTAACAAAGGGCAATAACTCTGTAATTACTTTAGATAGAGTTATGGTTCTTGTGCACTGCACTTCCCCTTATTGTGTTTGACAATTGTATGAAGTTGTTTTGAATTCCAACCAGTTGTTTTCAAGTTATGCCCCGGACAAGGAAAAGTAACAAAGGGCAATAACTCTGTAATTAGTCAAGAAAGAGTTATGGTTCTTATGCACTGCACTTCCTCTCAATGTGCTTGACCATTGTATGTAGTTATATTGAATTCAAACTATTAGTCTTCAAGTTATATGCCGGACAAAAAAAAAGCAATGGAAAAGCAACAAAGGGCAATAACTCTGTAATTACTATAGATAGAGTTATGGTTCTTGTGCACTGCACTTCCCGTTATTGTGTTTGACAATTGTATGAAGTTGTTTTGAATTCCAACCAGTAGTTTTCAAGTTATGCCCCGGACAAGGAAAAGTAACAAAGGGCAATAACTCTGTAATTAGTCAAGATAGAGTTATGGTTCTTGTGCACTGCACTTCCTCTCAATGTGCTTGACTATTGTATGTAGTTATATTGAATTCCAACCATTAGTCTTCAAGTTATGCTCCGGACAAGGAAAATGCAACGGACGTCTGGACCGACCCACCGACCGCCCGACCGACCGACCAACCGACCACCGGGTGACTCCTATATACCCCCCCAAACTTCGTTTTTGGGCGTATAAAAACACAAGAATAAAGGTCAAATTATATCAAAATATCAAAAGTAGGTCAGTTGATATCAAAATTCATTTTGGCATCAGAATTTACAAGCCTGGTCTGAATGTCAATATACAAGAAAGTAGGTCAAATGGTGTCAATAATACCTAAAGTAGGTCAGCTATTCAAAATTGAATTCAACATCAAAAATTACACAAATTACACCCCTGATCCAAATTTCAAGTCTGTACATAAAGACAAAACAAGAGCACTGCTAGGCGGAGCATTATATGCCCGAAAGTGTTTTTGTTTTTCTTTGTAAGGATGAAGCATTTGTAAGACATGGAAATTAGCTGTTCATCCTGTAAGATTTCACAGCTGTAGGTTGATTAATACTTAAGTTATTAATAATGACCTTAACCTTTGACCTTGTGACCCCAAAATCAACAGGGGTCTTCTACCTAATATGGACAATCATCTTAAGTTTGAATATTGTGGGCCAAATGGAACTTTAGTTATGCTCCGGAAACTGTTTTCAATTTTAAGGTAATAGTGACCTTGACCTTTGACCTTGTGACCCAAAAATCAATAAGGGTCTTCTATCCAATATACACAATCAAACTATGAATTTTGAATATTGTGGGCCAAATGGAACTTAAGTTATGCTCTAGAAACTGTTGTCAGTATTAAGGTAAAAGTGACTGACCTTGTGACCCCAAAATCAATAGGGGTCTTCTACCCAATATGGACAATCATCCTATGAAGTTTGGATATAGTGGGCCAAATGGAACTTACCTTATTTATGCTCTGGAAACTGTTTTTGGTTTTAAGGTAATTGTGACCTTGACCTTGGACCTAGTGACCCAAAAATCACTAGGGTCTTTTGCCCAGTATGGACAATCATCCTTTTAAGTTTGAATATTGTGGGCCAAATGGAACTTAAGTTATGCTTCGGAAACTTTTTTCAGTATTATGGTAATAGTGATCTTGACCTTTGACCTTGTGACCCCAAAATCAATAGGGGTCTCATACCCAATATGGACAATCATTCTATGAAGTTTGAATAATGTGGGTGAAATGGAACTTAAGTTATGCTCCGGAAACCGAATTGCTAACAGACAGATGGACGGACAGACAGACAGACAGGGGGACTATAACATAATATGCCCTTTCAGGCATATAAAATGTAGGTAAAGCGATATCAAATATATCAAAAGTAGGCCACTTCATATCAAAATTCAATTCAGGATCAGAAATTAAACCCCTTGTCCAAATTTCCAGCAGGTACATCAAACTAGAGGGCCATGATGGCCCTGAGGTCGCTCACCTGTATATAGGCCCCCCTCCAAACCCCCCCCCCCCAACGTTGCAGGGCCAATT